AGGGAAAAGAAAATGAGGCAGAAAAAAAAAGTTGAAAAAAGACAGAATACAAAGAGAGAGATAAAGATTTAACTTGCAGATATGATCTTGAACAAAATAAAGTCATATAAAAAGAATAAACATCACAGAACCCACAAAAATGTAACACTGGGACTCAGACTATAATGTTTGGAGAAGAGATAGGGCAAATGGAAACAACTGGGGAGCCGCAACATCACTACAAAAAAATAAGGTATTAAAGAAAACCCCACAAAGGATCTAAAGGTAACTGAGGTCAAAGCAAATAGGGCAAACAAAATAGTAGCTATAATTTACATGCCACCTCATACATCTGCATGGTCACAAGAAAACTGTCAAAGCCTAAATACCTAGTTTAAAAGGAGGTACTACAATTTCTGGAAACAATTGGAAAATTCCCATAACAGGGGATTTCAATAACACAACTGACTGGAAAACTGTAGATCCTAAATGGCAAACTGATTTCAGGAGTGGTAAATTGCAAGAAATTGTAAATGAATGCTGCCTTTCACAAAATGTAACAGAACATACCACAGAATGACGGCTGGATAGGCCATCTAATATTCACAAACCATAAATATGATAATAAAGGATATACAGTACTGTTCTCCACCAAGCAAAAGTGATCATGTGTAATTAAATTAAAACATCTTTAAAAGGAAAAAAATATTGAACAGATGGAAAGAAAGAGGAAGTATAATTGCAACAGCAGTAATCATACAAGCCTAAAGAAGCCTATTTGAAGATATAAATTTAGAAACAAGATTGATCCAAGAGGACACAGATGGACAGTGCTCACAACGTTGCATAATTTGTAAGAAAAGAAGTGGACTGATTTATACCAAATTTCAAAACCAAAGCTAGTTAAGGCTAAAACGGGTTACAATTAAAAATACAAGAATGTGACAAAATAGCCATCTCCCATGGAAATAGTTTGGAAAAAAAAGCCTAAAACAGTATTTGAGAGATACAAAAAGGAAGAAAACAGTAAACCAAAACCACAATATACTTCAAAATGACCATAATTTGCCAGCCCAGCTCTTTTAGCTACATAATATGGTAAAAGTAAAAGCAGAGACCAAACTGTTGCTATCAAAGCCAATATCATTTGTACCAAAGAATAGGAAATGTGTTGCACACTATGCTGGAAATCTAAGCTATCAACAAGCAGTTAGGTTTCAGGGAGCTCATGTGTAGCAAATCAAATCTGATATTCTGACAGTTATGAGACATTGCAAGAAAGAAATAAGCTGAGTGGATTATATATAACTTAAGACTTTAAAAAGGTTTCTGATAAGCTGTCACCTCGAAGACTAGTACAGCTACCACTTGGATCAGTCTTGGCCCTATTCATGTTTATCTCATTAATGATTTGCTGTGAAATATTAGCTCAGGAAACTATTTCAATGCATTTGAAGAAGGTGCAAAAATACAAAGGGTGATGAGGTTTCATCTTACAGCCACCAGAAAAAAAATGAAAAGAAAAGAAGAGTAATGAAAAGAAATGAAAAGAAAAGAAAAGAAAAGGAAAAGAGGAAAAAAAGAATTGAAAAAGAAAAAAGGAAAAGAAAGGAAAAAAGGAAAAAAGGAAAAGAAAGGGAAAAAAGAAAAAAGGAAAAGAAAGGGAAAAAAGAAAAGAAAAGAGAAAAGAAAAGGACAGTCATTGCATGCAGGTATCGAGTCCCCAATTAAAGAAAGATTAGACAAATTGGTCACCAGTATTGTTAGATATGAGCTATGGAGATAGATTACAGATATAGATTAGAGGTAAAAATTTGTGTGCGCGCGTGTGCGTGTGCGTGTGCGTATGCGTGCGTGTAAATCACGCACAGTCAAATCAATGACCTCCAGCCTAAAAATTGTAAGAGAAACTGCATTTAATAGCTCTTCCGGCTCAGAACTAAACCACAAGCCAAGGGGTTTATGAAAGGCTGTAGAACATAGGTTGGTAATGAGACTTGCTAAAGGCAGATGCACCAAGTGAAAGCTCCTTCCTTTGCTGTTCATGCTAATGGGTATCCTCCAAGGCATCATTTAGGGAATGGCATTTCCTCCAAGATATAGAGCACAGCTATGTGACGGTCTCTTTGGTTGCTCACTGGGGTTATGCAAGAAATATAACTGGTCCCTTTTGGTTATTTACTTATAGGCACATTAAGTACTCACCATTTTTATAAAATGATGTATTTCTGACTGACAAAAATTGAGACTTGAGGAGGTATGTATTAGAATAGTATCATGAAGACTATTACAAAAATACCTGAGGCTACAAAAACGCCTATAGCTACTAGGAAATAAACTGTAGAAAGCAAACATGCCTAAAATTTTCTGTGCAATAAATTCCCCAGGTGAAAGGTAGAAAGCTAGCCAATGTAATAGAGAGGATTCTATAACCCAAAGTTTATGTTATTTAGGCTAGGAAATACCAGTTTTATTCCTTAGAAATATTTGGAGAGATACATTTGCTAATATTTAGTTTCCATGTTCTAATAACTAGCTCTATTACATATATAATTCCTGTGACATTTTTTTTTTTTAATTACAGCAACATAAGTTTTCACACACAAACAAACAATGCAACTAAAGCAGAAAAGAGAAAATATTAACCCTAAAACAACACTTATAAGATATGCAAATATAATACAAAATAATGAAATATACCTATCTTATCAGCAAAGATAGCATTTACAGTAGACACACTCACAGCTGCTTCATTCATCACATGATAATCAACATGCAAAGAACATTATCTTTCACAATTGACAGCACACCAAAAGCACATAATCATTGGGACTGATGTAATACAAAGTGTAATATATTTTTCTACTGAAAGGAAATAAATAAAAATCTTAATTATCTTAACCTGAGATTACCTTGAGACTGGTATGCTCTGTTTGTGTGTTTTCTAATCATTTGTACAACCTTGACACAAGCTGCTGTTTACCTTTTCATTGAGAATGATGTGTGATATTTGATAAAGAAAATCACTTTAATGTTGATGAATTAGGACAAATGCTTATTTGGGCTCTCTTTATGCAAGTCTAAGATTGCATGCAATGGTATAAAATAATAATTAACAGAAAAGAATTGGGTTGTGTAGTGAGGTGTAAAAATCTATACAAATATATATCAACTAAAGTTTTTTGCCTAAATATCTAAAATCTAAATAATTACTTTCATTCTACAGCAAAACTATGAAACAAAGTTAGGGATAATCTTTTGTACAAACCTCCAAAATCCAACCTCCTCCCCCTTCTCAAAAACCCATGCAATCATCACTCCCAAGGCCTCACCTGGTCATCGTCTGCTTGTAGCTTGGCCGCCTGCTGCCCCTTGAGGAACATCTGGAGGTACATCTTCTGGTGGCGCAGCTCAGCCTCAGTCAGCTCGTCCTTCAGCTTGGTCGCCTCGCGCTCCAGCTCGCGGATCTTCTCTTGGCTTCTATCATACATGGGCCGGAGTTCGAAGTACCTAAGGGGGGTGGGGAGTGGATTAGTCCAGGTTCCGTCTTAGTCACACACACAAATACAAATCTTATACTCTTCTGCAAAAGATAGTTTGAGTGCTGGATATATGGTAGATGAATAGATGAATAAAAGGGTTGGTGAATGAATGAATACTGACAGGCATGGTTAAGACAAGTTGATGAATAAATAATAATATTTATAGATCATTTGATATATGGATGGATAAACAGCATCTGACTATATGAACAGATGAAAAATAGATTGATAGAAACAATGATGGATGGATGAACAGATGAAGAGCTAGACAGGGAGAATAATGATAAAAAGGTAATCCACCTCCTCCTTCCACTTTCCTCTTACTACCTATCTACTCTCCCTTCCACTCCTCATCCTCCTTTCCTTCTTCTTTTCTCATTTTTTTTCTTGTTTTTTTTAACCTACTTCCTTTGCACTGCTTATCCAACTCCCCATCTTCCCCTGAACTGCTAAATACCCCTCCTTCCTATCTTCCTTCCTTTCCTCCCTCCTTCCCTCCCTCCCTCCTTCCCACCCTCCCTCCTTCCCACCCTCCCTCCTTCCCACCCTCCCTCCTTCCCACCCTCCCTCCTTCCCACCCTCCCTCCTTCCCACCCACCCACCCATCCCACCCTCCCTTCCTTCCTCCTCCTCCTTCCTTCCTTCCTTCCTTCCTCCTCCTTCCTTCCTTCCTTCCTTCCTTCCTTCCCTCCTCCTTCCCTCCTCCTCCTCCTTCCTTCCTTCATCCTTCCTCCTTCCTCCCTCCCTCCTTCCTTCCTCATTCTTCCTCACTTCCTCACTTCCTCCCTTCCTCCCTCCCTCCCTCCTTCCTTCCTTCATTCCTTCCTTCATTCCTTCCTCCCTTCCTCCCTTCCTCCCTTCCTCCCTTCCTCCCTTCCTCACTTCCTCACTTCCTCCCTTCCTCACTTCCTCCCTTCCTCACTTCCTCCCTTCCTCACTTCCTCCCTTCCTCACTTCCTCCCTTCCTCACTTCCTCACTTCCTCTCTCCTCCGTCTCTCCTCCCTCTTCCCTCCTTCCTCCACTCGCGACTTCGTCCCTCACTCTCTCCTTTCGTTCCTCTCCCCCACCACCTCCTCCTCTTACTTGAGATTAGCATCACTGAGCTTGGAGAGCAGTGACTCGACGCGGTCGTTGTGCTTCTCCTTGAGCTCGTGGTATTCATCCATGTGGTTCCTCTTGAGCTGGTCCTCCCGCCGCTCGTAATCCCGCAGCCGCGCCTCAGCCTCCTCCAGGGCCGTCCACGGGTCCACCTCCACCGCCACCTCCTCCACGTCGTTGTCGTCGTCCTCATCCTCATCATCATCGCCGTCTCCACCCAGACGTCTGCTTCTGAGTAAGCGCTGCCTCGGCTGCTCGAATGGGTCCTGGGGAAGGGCAGTGGGTGAGTAGGTCATGCGTGAGGGCGGTTTTATCTATGTGTCTCTCACTCTCTTTCTATCTGTTTCTAAATCTATTTATTCCTTATTTCCTGTCGCCCA